GATTAGACGATACTGCACGGTGTGGTGCGTGATGAACGCTAAGCCACCACCATTATCTCGCTCGCGATCTCGACGGTGCACGTTGTACCCGGTGCAATTCAACAGAGTTGAATTGCTGTGCAACTTCGTATCTTGGACCGCAGCTATCAATATACCATGCCGACACATGAAGACGGTTATCTCCTCAATCTTGCTCTGTATCCCGTTGCAGTTAAATTGAAGGAGCTTCATGTGGTTCGGGAGACGTGTCGTGATGTGTGTGTTCTTACCGCCATTGGCTGTGTGCGCTGCTGTGATGACTGCCGCCCTGTGGTGGTGGCGGGAGGCGTCGCAATTGGGGTCTGCGACCGCGCAGCGCAACACGGGCCCTCGAAGTTCCCAGTCCAATCTCGCGTGGTACGCAGACCTGAGCATGCCCTAAAGTGGCACCAGCCAAGGCAGGTGTTGCACTTGACTGATGTCACATTACGGAATATCCTGGTCTGACATACCGTGCAGATTGTAGGGGGAACCAGGAGTTGTTGGCGGTGGCGTGTGGGTGGTGGTGCGGTTGTGTGTGTTATGTGGTCTGTCGTGACTGTGGTATGATCTGTGGTGTTATTGTGTTGTGGTGACTGTGTGAGCTTGCTCGGGCAGACTGAGGTTAGCCGTGGAGGCTGCTCTGTTTGAGCAACAGGGGGCCACGTACGACGTGGTCCACTGTCGATGTGTCTGTAGTCCCGAGCAGACTCTGAGGTGACTCCACCCCTCACAGGCATTACACTTGACTGAGGTGGATTTGTGGTGTAATCGTCTCCGGCAGACACAGCAGGTGTAGGTTTCTGGCCCTGGGTTTGACTCGATGCCAGCCCTGAGTAAAAGAATACGTAGTGAATGTAGCCCTATGGACGGACAACTTCTGAGATACTTCGCCGACCTAAACGGGGNTAGATCGCCGAAACAACAGCCCTTGGTCGGGTAAAACCCGAGTCATTCCGGTGCGTAGAACCGGCTGTCGTGGGAATGTCTACCTCAGTCAAGTGCAGTGCTTGCAACGGGTGGAGTCACCTCAGAGTCTGCTCAGGCCTACGGACTCATCGGCAGTAGACCACTTCATTTGTGGCCCCCTGCTGCTCAAACAGAGCATCCTTCACCCCAGTCCACCTGAGCAGCTCAACACAAACACCACAACACCACAACACAACAACACAATAGACCACACCACATCCACAACAAACCACACAACTCCTGGTTCCTCCTCCAATCTGCACGGTGTGTCAGACCAGGATATTCCGTAACGTGACATCAGTCAAGTGCAACACCTGCCTTGGCTGGTGCCACTTTAGGGCATGTTGAGGTCTGCGCACCATGCCAGATTGGACGAGGAACTTCGAGGGCCCGTGTTGCGCTGCGCGTTCGCAAACCCCAATTGCGACGCTACCCACTACCACCACAGGGCGGCACCCTCCAAAGCAGCGCACACAGCCAACGGCGGCAAGGCAACACACATCCCTCACACCCCGCATAACAACACGTCTCCCGAACCACATGAAGCTTTTTCAATTTAACTGTAACGGACTTCAGAGCAAGATCGAGGAGATAACCGTTTTCATGGGAAGGCATGGTATATTCATAGCTGCGGTCCAAGAGACGAAGTTGTACAGCAGTTCAACATTGTTGAATTGCGCCGGATACAACGTGCACCGTCAAGATCGCGAGCGAGATAATCGTGGTGGCTTAGCGTTCATCACGCACCACACTGTGCAGTGTCGTCTTATCGAAGCAGACATCGACCGCAGGGATACCACCCTAAAATGTCAGGGCATTGCACTCCGGTCAGGCCATGTCGACCTCGAAATATTTAACGTTTATATGCCCCCTGTCACTAGCTGCCCGGCAGAATATCACCCTCACATAGGTGCGCTCCTCATATGTGAAAACCGTAAGTTAGTTGGTGACTTTAACGCACACCACGATATTTGGCGTTCAACCCTGTCAAACGATCGTAGAGGAACAGACTTGGCTGAGCAGATAGACGATTCGACATTCTGCACTATGAACGACGACGCACCCACCAGGATTATGGGCATATACTGCAGCTCGCCCGACATAACGAGAGTGAGCGCTGGTCTGATAAACAGCATATAATGGCGACCTATGCTGACCTTGGCATGAGACCATCTGCCCATAGTCATCTCGAGCGATAAACCAACCGACTTTGCTTCCGAGGAACACCGGACCTACATATATCAACTTTTCTAAAGTTGATTGGAATTTACTGACAGCACTGCTGCAGCAGCTTGCTTCGTACCAGCAGGATGCATTACGGACCCCCGTCCAAACTTCCCAGCTGAAGCGGCCGTTCTAGCCGATGAGCGCGACAATCTTCGTCAGGCCGATCCCGGAAATCCCCGTATCAGGGATGTCAACGCGGAGATTTGGCGGCTTGTGGACGTACATAAGCGGAAAAGGTGGGAAGAGCATCTGAAGACTTGTAACTTCGCTTCTGGTGTGAGTAAGCTTTGGTCAACCGTGAGGTCACTGTCCAATCCGACGAAGCACGACAACAGGGTCGAAATTTCTTTCGGCGACCATGCTTCGTCGGACTCGGAGCGATTCGCGAGTTAAAACCAAGCGTAGAGTGACCAGAAGGTTGCACAAACTGCCAACAACCACTGCCCCTCATGCTTTCACTAGCGGTGAAGTTCAGGTAGCCATCGGGAAGGCGAAAGCCTCCAAAGCCGGCCCCACGACGGAATATGCATGTTGATGCGGAAAAATTTGGGTCCTGCGGGAGTAGCGTACCTAACGGAGGTCCTCAATCTGTCAATGGCCACTCTCATAATTCCAGACATCTGAAAGTTGGGGAGAGAGGACCCATTTAACCGGGGAAACCTGCCCACAAGGGAGAGTCTTATCGTCTTATAACACTCCTTTCCCCGGTAGCGAAGACAACCGGACTTGTGCCCGCAAGTTAAGGCGAAGCTTTTGGCATGCATTTGAAGATATTTTACCTTAAAGGCACTGCACTTTTGCAAGGAACTATCTTGTGCTTACATTGGGTCAGGTGGTGTGGCAAAAAGTGAGACGAGCATACATAAGGGCACTTTGGCAAATCCGTTTTCATAACACCACAAACCTCGATCCATTTTTGCTGTATAAACGATAGTTGCGGGAACTTGAGGATCTTTAGATTGCNGGAACTATCTTGTGCTTACATTGGGTCAGGTGGTGTGGCAAAAAGTGAGACGAGCATACATAAGGGCACTTTGGCAAATCCGTTTTCATAACACCACAAACCTCGATCCATTTTTGCTGTATAAACGATAGTTGCGGGAACTTGAGGATCTTTAGATTGCTTTGCTTGCAGAGGAAAAGGAGTTTGGGCAGCCGTTAAAGCAGCAACTAATTTTTCGTTTCCAAATTTTTTAGTTTTTTAAACTTCTGAATAAATAAATATATCAAATCATAAATTTTCATTTGTTTATTTTGGATTTCTTTACATTAGATATAGAAAACTCAAAATGCTAGCAAACGTGAAAAAACCCCAATGACGGACGAATTGAGCGAGCGGTTTTACCTTTAAATATTTGTATCATGGTATGTGAATAATTGTCTTTAATAATGTAATTAAACTAGTAATATTCTCCAACATGTGTAGTCTGTAAGAATATTTTTGTTCATTGACTTAAGTAATAAATAAATAAATAAGCCCAGAAAAATAAAACAGCGGGTTCCACAGGGTGGTGTCCTTTCCCCATTACTGTTTAACTACCATATTTCAAAGCTCCCTCTAACCACCAGAGGGAGTCTCGATTATCTTCTATGCTGACGATTGCTCGATCATGGCGACTGGGAATGGAATTGATGACC